TTGATTTGGAATTAATGTTTGGAAATAAACTAGCGATGAATAAACAATTGGAAATTGATGATGAGCTTAATAAGTTTATTCAAGAATTGGATAAGGAAGAAGATTTTGATCCAGATTCATTAGTTCAAAATTTTGTTAATAATTAGTTAATTTGTATTTTGATTAATATAATTGATACTTGATAATAATGTAATGAAATTAATATAATAAACTTATAAAACAATAAAATAATTTTTGATATATTTCGGTATATAAGTTTCGGAATCGGGATTCGGGATTCAGAAAAATAAATGCATTTCCGAAACTATGTTTCGTATATATCGAAACCTAAAGAGTTTCGGGAGGTTTCGGTTTCGATACCCATGTTTAGATCTGACTGTGAAGTTGTTATCATGGGGTGGTATATTCTCGTGTCGTGTGATGATGTCTTTGAAGACAGCTCCATCCGACATAATGGATTCTTCTGGAACATCTGTATCTTCTTCGGTGGCGGGGCAGGTTTCACTCTCTTCCGCCGATGTTCTTGATTGTTTATTGCCTCTCAGGTTATATTTTAATTTTGTGGCCTCATAAGAGGTCTTTTCGTAGGGCGTGTTTCTCTTTGATGGTTTATGGGGACGCGGTGGAAGTGATGAAGAGGCTGATGCTATTTCTTTTTGGCTCAATAAGGTGATATTAGTGGAGAGTTGTTTAATGATTGTGTCGTATTTCTCGAGTCTTGCTGTTACTTCTATAAGTGAGGAGTCGAGAACGTTGTAATTTTGTTGTAAATGTGATAGTTTTTTATCCGTATTTAAGTTAGCGTCTTCTAGTGATTTGATGGTTTGTAGGAGGGTTTGGACTTGTTTTTCGAGTTAAGTGATTCTTTTGCTTGAGGAATCATCTTGTGGATTGTAATGAATGTTTGGGTGAGGGATAGTGTGTTTGTTATTGTTATTGTGATTATCGTCAGTATCAGGGTGATTAGAATTGCGCTGGAGTCTATTATGGCGAGGATATAGTAAACTACCAGAGCGTGGAGTTGTGTTTTGATCTGTAGATTGTGGTCGTGTATAGTCATTATGTGGGGACTTTGATTGTTGATTTTTTTTGTTGGAGTTGAGAGTAATGATATGGTTGTATCTATTCTTATGTGTTTCGTTAATTGTGATTTTTTCTTCTTTTCGGTCAATAAATCTTTTATTAAAGAATTTTCGGTTATTGTTATCTGTTCTGAAATTTTTGTCATCACATGCGTTAGTAGCGTGTAGCGGTGATCCGCAGATGTTGCATGTTTTACCAGCCAAATGTCCTGGCATGGTATAAATTTTGTGTCCTTCGAAATCTAGGGATGCTCCACCTGTCGCATCCTCTGGATAGTTGTCTGGAGAGACGTAAACGTATGCGTTTTTCATGGTTGACGATTTAGTGGTTTGTGTGAAGGTACAGGTGCGTCCATAAATATGTTTAATAAGAGGGTTTAAATCCATATGGGTCGTATTAAGTGGTAGTCCAGTAATTTTATAATATTTGCTGGTGCGCTTTTTGAATTCTGCGTCATTTTGGTTTCCTGGAAGAATTCTTATCACGAAATTTTCTATTTCTAGGCACCAGTAATTTTCTTTCATGAAGTAGTCATATGCTGATTTTTTGTCAAATTGTACAATAAGTTGTTTGTATGCAGGTTTAATTAAAAAAAGGCGTCCATGATTATTTCGGTTAGGTATTTTTCTTGGGGGTTTTTTGATTTCTTTGTGATCAATGACATTGCTATTGGTTTTGAGCGCGAGGTGTTTGATAAGCATGGATGTGTCATAATTGTATGGTATATCCATAATTTTAATGACAGCCTGATCCATAGTTGAAAGTTTTCTTTCGATTAAAACATTAATTGCAGTGTTGGTAAGTTCGTAAATTTTAATGGGTTTAAGGTTTTCTGGACTGTTCTCAATGTATTGATTGAGTGAGTCACGTGTTTTAAAGAAAATAGTGAAATATCTATAAGTGGAGGTTGTGTTGACTTCAAATTTGTAAGCATTGCTGTCATTTAAAAATGACGTTTTTAGTAGGTTGATGATTTCGTTGTTTGTGAGATTGGGTTTAAAACTGTCTCTAGGAATAAATCCTTTGTGTGCTTTGTAACTGACTTGTGTTGTATTGTTGAAAATATCATTGAGCACGGTGATTTCTATACTTTTTGGGGGATTTGTTTGTGTGGCTGTTTGTACTTCAGGAGATTTTCCTTTATTTGTATTGATTTCTTTGGGATCTTCATCCATAAAAGTCAAATTTTCAGTGATTGGTGTTTGCGTGTGAATATCATTTTCTTGTGAGTCACGTGATGTAATTTCAAGTTCGCTATGCGAGAGAATATGGGTGGGAGAGGTAGACGATGCCTCTTCCATAGTCATGTCCGTTATAGTATTGTTGGCAGCACAAATAGGACTTGGAGATTGACTGGGGGTCATATTGTTTCGTTTGTTAGGAGACGAGTATGTGAGATATATGTCTTCGTCGTTAGTAACTGGGCGGTAAGATTTTTCTAAATTTTTTAAAAATTTTTTTGAAAATTTTTTTCCTATAGCAAAACTCATATGATAATGTTCCGAGGAGAACGTAGAGACCAAAATTGGTGAAAAAATCGACACTTGTCTATAAAGAAATGTGTTTTTAGTGAAAAATTTCTTCTGTGAATTTTTGGTATTTAACGATCGTCGGAAAGAGTTTTTTATTTTTTTTTCAAACAAGAGGATTTTTCTAATATTGTTCATCCAATCTCTTACGATCTTTGATTATCACGAGAAATATTGTGTAGGTCCTGATATACGAGTCCCTAATATAAAAGCGCGATCATAATAACGCATTTGGTAAGCAAAACTGACATTGTGAATAGTCAAAAAAAAAAAAATTTTTTAAACAAAATTTTGTAAAACACTATAAAGAGAAATCTAAGTCAAAAGTCAATGCTTTGTAAGAGTTAATGAAATGATGAATATTAATTGTTTTTTTTTTAGTGTCGTGCAATCCCCGAAAGGACACCCACCTCATTTCGAATGATCCCTCCAACTTAAACTAAACCGCAGTAAAACTTATCTAATGTTTGATCAGTATTTACACCCATTTCAGATATTACACCAATTACGACTAGTGGAAAATTATGGAAATTACTTAAAACTTTATCGTACGATCTTACAACCACTATTACGGCGGCCAACACTACAAACAAATCATATTCTAAGGAAATTGCATACCAAAATGATTAGTTTAGAATTTATTAATTTATTTAAATTTCCTTATCATATTTGTTTTTATGTTAAAAATTACACTTAATTTAAAGTAACTATTTTTCCTTTAATTTAATCGTATTTAAAACCACCAACGAATCATGTTAAAAGTTTTTAAATGCAATTAATTAATAAAAAAAATGCTCCCTTCATAATTCCAGCTAAAAGGTCTACCTTTTTGCTGAAACCTTATCTTTTTGAGTATCCGCCATTAAAGAATTATGCAACGGTTTATCGATTATTTAAACCCTTCTAGATTAAATCTAATCAAATATCATAAAATGTTTATTACACATAATTATTGACTTTACGTAATGATCATATTGGTTTCATTCGTTAAGCATTTGCGACTAGTAGCAATGCGGATTACTATAATAAAAATAGTCATAAGCGGCAGTAAAGATAATAATTATATAATCAAAATTAATAAAGTTTTGAATTTCACTTTATTTTAACTTACTCAAATCTCTGTTTCCGCCATATAAAAGTTTTTAAGTAGAGACTTATAAACGAATAAATCAAAACCAATTTACCATTTCGTCAAAATATTTTTCCCATTATTTTGTGCAATATATTTCACGTGAATACTGCGCATTGGAGATTAATTATATTCTGATCGTCCAAAAAATCTGCTACTGCGGATACGATTGCAGTTTCTGTTTCATGAAAGAAAACATCGGGGAATTTTTTAGAGATCATTTAAATCGATGATCAACGAATTACGATAATTATCTGTGGTTAAATGCAGACAATTTACTATATTGATAATTATCAATAATAATCTCAAAATTAAATAAGTTAAATGTAGACAATTTGCAATATTGATAATTATCGTAATTAATTATCATGTTAATTAACGACATTGATAATTATCAGGACTGGGAAAACTTATAATAAAGGTCACCGGACAATAGTAAAATGATGGTTTTGCCCAAATTAATAAAAATTTTTCTTAAGTAATTAAACTAAAAATCTAACAAATCATACAGAAATGTCTGAAAAATAAAATGAATCATAAATTATTCTTTTAATATCAATATTAACTGAGATCATTGAATTTTCTGAAAAAAATTTTATAATAACGCGAACCACTTTTAAATATATAAAAATCTAAATTGAGTGTATAAATCATGCATTTAACTCTAAACTTAAACAGATAAGTTTAATCCACACATTTTGGCTTCATTAAAAATTGTATATATAAAAAATTCAATGGATTTTACTAGTGTGCCGGGTACTACAGTGACCTCCATTATAGGTTTTCCCGGTCCTTAATTATCATCATGAGATAAAATTTCGATAAAGTGATAATTATCGATATTCATCCCGTAAAAAATTTCCCCCAAAAAATTAAAATATGATTGTCAAGATCTTAGACTAGAATCGAACTAGCCAAAGCATAGACATGCTTTCCACCAGGATAAGATTTTAAAAAAATTCTGTTTGCTTAATCTTTTAAACACATAGGAGAAAGAAGAGAAACAGAAAAAGAAGAGAAACACCTTAAAATATGGAAGAACTCTAGAGCTATGACCTCAAACACCAATCGGCAAACTCAGAGGGATGCTATGGCTGACCAGCCGGAAGACAGGGGCATATACTATGGGTTTATCACGTTTCCAATAAACCAAGGTCGTCTACAGTCACATTATGTATATTATACTATACAATGGTCTAGAAAGTTCAACCATCTTCATTATACTGGTGACCAGATGTAAAACCTAGACATCACCAGAAATAATGGGCGTTTTTACTAATAAAACTGCAAAACAAACTCTTTTTATACGAGAGAGATACCTTGTTACGCGTGACGACCAGATGTAAAACCTAGACATCGTCAGGAAATGGGCGTTTTTACTAATAAAACTGCAAAACAAACTCTTTTTGTACGAGAGAGATACCTCGTTATAAAAAAAATATCTACTGTATATAAGACGTCATTATAAAACAACGTTATAAAAAAACGTCATTATAAAACGTTGTAAAAACGTCATTATAAGAAAAAAAGAGAGAGAGATTAAAAAACGAGAGAGATATTATAAAAAAACGAGAGAGATATTATAAAAAAACGAGAGAGATATTATAAAGAAAATACGAGAGAGATATTAAAAAACGCGAGAGATATTATGAAAAAAATGCGAGAGAGATGTTATAAAAAAAACGAGAAAGATATTATAAAGAGAGAGATATTATAGAGAGATATTATAAAAAAAAAATGAGAGATATCTCGTTATAAAAAAAAAAATTCCAAAATGTGGTTTATTTATAGAAAAAAATAATCAGTGGGTATACACAAAATTACGTAACTATTACAAAAAGTTATTCAAAATATGAGTAACTCAGAGATGTATCGCGCAATTTATCAATATCAGTGACTAATAATATATTGATCTAGACCTAGCACTTTTAAACGGAGATGTCTCAATAAATAATTATAGGAGTAAAATCAGTACACATATTCGATATACCGATATTCGATATACCGATTATCTCTAGAAACCGCTTCTATCTTTACTTCGTATAATTCTTTACAATTTAATCAGTAAAAATTAATGAACTCCAGCCAACTCTTTGAATAGGAGCAAGTCTATGGCCTACCATTCTAAAATATCATACGAATTACTGCACGTTTTTTATCTTTTTTTGTAAAAAAGGGATACGTGTACGTCGAAACGGTAAATTTCGAACAGTAAGTTTCGCGTTGCAAAACTTTGAATATTTTTTTATTATTGTTTTTAAGAAACGCATTTAGTTTCGGTAAGTTTCGCAACTATTTTAGTTGCGAAACTTTATATTTTGGTTTTTATTAATAGAAACGTTTTTAACGTTTCGTTTATTATTTTTTTTTACAGGTATCGATTATAAACGTTAGAGTTTTAAAACGAGTAAGTTTCGTTACAAAACTTATGAAACTTACCCTTTTCTTTTGTTTTTTAAATGAAACACGTATTTACGTTTCTTTTTTTTTATAATTTTTTTGTAGGTCTCAGATCGATCTTGAGATTAGAAACGGTAAGTTTCTTTGCGAAATTTACCGTTTCTTTTTTGTTTTTTTTTTAATGTAAACGTTTATTAACGTTTATTCTTCTATTTTGTAGGCTCCATGATTTTAGGGTTCAGATACTAGAGATGAGTAAGTTTCACAACTTTTATTGCGAAACTTACGTTTTTTATTTAAAACATTATTTAACGTTTTTTTATTTCTTATTTGTAGGCTTCAGATGTTTGAATTTGGAATATTGAAGACGAAACCTGAACTAATTTTTTTTTTATTTCATTAGGAATTGTTTATTTTTTCTTAGAGTCTAAGTTTGTAGGACTCTGGAGTTTCGGAAATGGAAAAACATCAGAGTAATTAATTTAAATAATGTATTTATTAATTATTATTGAATAAATAACTAATTAATCTAACAATATTTAACAAATGAATAATTTAACGTTATCTAACAATAAAGTAACATAACACTATTTAACAATAAATAATTTAACGATTTTTTTGACTATAATAATTATCGTAATTTAACGATACTGATAATTATTGTCAATATAACCTAATTTATCCACATCAGTATATCTTGACGAGTCCGATATATATCAGTGACATTTTCATCGATATATATCCCTTAAAAAATTTCCCGATGAATATATGATTTTTTTTAACCCGCCTCGAAAATAATTTTAGATGGATCAATTAAAGTCTTAAATAACTTTAAAATAAAAAAAATTTTTTTTATTTATGATAAAAACTTATTTAGATAAAAAAAAAAGTTAATAATAAATATAAAAATATATAACTTATAAATATAAAGAATCAATTTTAAGCTTTCTTAATGATTAATAGACAAGCTAACCTAAGATTTTTTTATCATAATTTTTTATCATGATATCAGAATGACATTTGTCAAGCATTCACCATAAAAATTTCCACTAAAGATATAAAAAAAGTAAATAAAAATATGAACTAAAGTTAAATAAAAAATTATAAATATTATCTTTTTAAATAATATTCTGATTATTTCCGAAAAAAACTATTATAATTTAGGTCTCATCATTCAAATTATCTTCTTGAATAATTTCATTGAGATCTATTATTAGAAATATTAATTAAATAAAATTAGGCGAATTAAACGAGAAACTCTTAATAAAATAATAAATCACTACAAATAAATTATTTTACCTGATTCGCTAAGTTGAACATCTAAGCATTCTGAAACTATAAAATAAATAATAAAATAATGTTAAAATAAAAATATGAATTTATAATACAAACAGTATTAATCATTATACTTACTTAGATTTGTTGATATTGATGGGACATCGTCTATTATTAAAAAAATATTGGATATTGTTAAAACTTGAATAAGATTTTTTCATAATTAAAATTGAAGATTCACCTGAATTAACTTGGAAAGATGTTAAATCTGATGAGTTTATAGGTTCTGGAAGATTTTTAAAACTTAAAAGTCTACTGGTATAGATTGCTTGAGGATGAGTTTTAATACTTTCAGACTTATTTTCATTTGATCTGCTTTTAAATTTTTTTTCTCTAATTTTTTTATATTCATTCATCTGAGAATAAATTTCATCATCATCGTATTGTGTTTCATTCCATTTATTTAATATTTGATACAATTCTTTAGCAGATGGTCTATTTTCTGCTTTAGCATCCCAACATTTCATAATTAAATCTACAAGAAATTTTGGAATATGTTCAGAAATTTTTGGTCTAAGTCCTTTACATATTTTAAAAGCTAAAATATGATCATGAGAAATATCATTAAAAGGAATTTCTTCAGAAAGGTACTCATTCATAATTATTCCAAATGAATAAATATCAGCTGCTTTTGTATATTGATATCCACGTAAAACTTCTGGTGCCATATAAGGTAATACTCCATAAACTCCTATTTTTTCTGATTTCTCTTCATTATTTGCTGGTTGACACATTCCTAAATCACTTATATACATACCCCCACCGTGCAATATATTACCTGAATGAAAGTCTTTATGGACTTTTCCAGCATTATGGATATCTAACAGTCCATTTGCAATATTTGATAATCTATAAAGTTTTATATTATCATCATATTCATTTAAATAGAAATTTCTTAAATTTCCATTTTTACAATAATGTAAAACCATCATATAAACTTTGGTATTTGGATCTTGAGTTATTCCATAGCAGTAAATAACACTTCGAATATAAATCTGAAGATAAGATTTGATCTAATAATTAAAATTTTTTTTAAAAAAACAAATTTTAATAAAAATTATAATGTCGATTTAAATATAACATGATAAATTAATTTTTTATTTAGTTACCTCATCTAAAAAACCAGTACTGATTTCAGAAGAATTATCCAAACTTTTTAATGCAACTTTTCGACCTATGCCTCGCTTCCATTTTTGATTTTCAATGTCCCAACGAACAATGCGTCCATTAGGCCATTCGGCTGAATAAATTTTACCAAAGCCTCCTCTGGTAATATAAGTGACATTTTGTAATTTTTCAAAAGGTATCCATTCAAGACATTTTGTACAATGTACAGCATTAAGTTGTGAATGTTGTATAAATTCATCAATGTCTTTATTTCCACTAGTCCAATTTTTAAAATTTTCTTCAAATCTTTTTGCATTACAAGATTGACACCAATTTTCTCCTGTGCCAGGTTCATTACATTCTCCACATATACAATATACTTATTTTCTTTTTTCTATATCGTCCATATAAATTACACTATCATCAATATCTTCTGATTTAGTGGCAGAATTAATAGAAGAAACAGTAACATGATTCTAAATAAATGATTAAAATATATTTTATTTATTATTTAAATCATAATATTTAAATTATAAAGTGAAATTGCATTTACCTGATATTTATCCCAATCAAAAGTTTTCCATAAATTTCTTGGTTTTTCTTTGGATGTTTTATTCAAAATTTCCATATTAGTATTTCTTGACTTTTTTTTGAATATCTTTTTTAACGATTCTATACTTGTCAATTACGAAATAAATGTGTTAATTACAGTAATTTTAGTTATATGCGTAGTACTGTTATTTACTTTATAATAAATGAAAATTATTAAAACAAATTTAGTGAACGTAAAGTTATTTTATAGAGCTAAATGTATACAAAAATATGCACAACATGTATCATGCACATCCTGAGGCTACAATCCATACCAATCAGATTCAACAATTTTGTCAGCCGCACATTTTTATTGTCATTACCTAATTGAGACATCGTGAAACCTAATCATCAAAATATTGTATTACAAGATTCATGTTGATTCAATTTTTTTTTTTTTACATTTTACAAATTGAAGTATATATGGTAGCTGGTATTATATAAAAGTTATTAGTAGATGATATATATATATTTCATATTAAAAAATTATTAAGTGTACCAATATTTATAATCATAAAATTAACTTTTTGTTTTCGATACACTTTCAATTGTAATATGTAATGGGTTTATAATTATTTTAAACTTCAATTTAAAAGAAATAAAATAATTAATAAAATATAAATCACCAGATTATTGCGGATACAATTGTTATTGCTATTTCACGAAAAAAAACAAGAGTCTGAAAATTTGAAAAACAAATAAACAATTTATTAAGGTGACCGCCATACAAAGAAAGAGATTTTTTCGTTTAATACTTCAATTTAAAAAATAAGAAACATAAAAAAATAAATTGAATCGATTATAAGAAAGAAATTAACTTTACATATTTTTAAATTTAACCGCAAAAAAATTTGAATGGAGGAAATCATGAACATAATTTTAGAAAGTGACCCTGTCAAAGTAAAATTATTGCCAAAAGTTTTTTAAATGTATTTCATTAATGCGGTACGAAATCATCTACATAAAATATCATAATACTTAAATATTTATTTTACAATTAACCGGATTTTTATCTTATAAAGATTTCGCAAACGAATATTCATGCGTTGGAAAGATATTGTTGCGGCTTATTTGTATTTGTTATATTAACATTTCATAGTTCGTATTGTACAGTATTAGCATATCATTGTTGAATTTTAGTAATCTTTGTTCGTTCAAAGTTTAAATAAACATAGTAAAATTCAGAAATTTATAATGATTGAGAGTTATTAATGACAATTTATTCTTCTGCTGAGTACATAATTTGTAAGATAACCATTTTTCACCATTTAATAATCTATCTGATAGTAAGTACTTGAAGAAAGCAACGCAATACTCCGATCGTTAGCCCCGTTAACGGATTGGAATAATGAAATATAACAACAGTAAATAGCTGCAGAATATAATAATGTTTCATTATTAAATTTAAAAATATTAATATTTAAGAAAATTAATCAATGAAATTTGCTTATTCCAAAATTTTTTTTCTTAAAATCAAAAATTATCAAAGTAAAATTATATGATTCTAATTGTTAAAATTGTGAATCATATGAGAAATGTAAAAACCCTATATGGGATTCTGAAGAATATAATGTCAATCTTTAACTCTGTCATTTTTATTTTTGGTATCTTAAATTCTTTTCTTCTCTTCGTATCAATAATTTAGTTTTGTATTCTAAAATAATTATCGTAATTCTAAAGGATTTTAATGCTTTTAAAGACACACTAATTTACCGTCGAATGTACTATACGTCTATACCTAGGAACAGTATGGATGAATCCGATTTTAACTTGTTTAGAATTAGAGTAGTACTCAAAGAACATTGATTGATGATTTGATCGAGTAAAAACTTGGCTTGATCGAACAAAATTCGATCACTTTAACTAATCAATGTAATCGATCATGTGATTAATCAACTCGATTTATAAAAATTTTTAAATTATTGGAATTTTATATTTTTAATAAGAGAAACTCGTTAACTATTTCATTTTTTTTTATGTATATGTATATTTTTTTATAATTGAAATATTTTATATTAATTTATTTATTATAGAGTAACAAAACCTGTCGGAAATGGAAACATATAGTACATTTAAAGGAATTGGACTAATTTTAAGTAAAATACATGAAGCACGTAAGTAAATTAATTATTCTCATATTTTATCTTCAACATATTTATTAAGGAATGACTAAGATTTATTTTTTTAAAAAAAATTTAGTCATTTCATCTTGTTTACAAAGATGAGTAGAAATGAAAAAATACAAATAATTAAAATTTTGCCAATAGTCTATAAATATGAAAAATTATAGATATTAGGACCTAATGATAAAATTGGTTATGATTAATCAAGATATTTATATAAAATTTCATAATAATGAAGTAGCGATAGAAAAATTTAAGTCCCATATTAGAGATCTCTAAAGAAGAATATACTGTAAAATTATGATTCTTATAGTAGAACTTAAATACAGTATATACCATAATGAAACGTAATTTTCGAAATTTATTATTACCTATTGAATGTTTAACCTTTTAAATATAATTCTTACTTTAACAATAATAATGTTTAAATCCAATTTATTTAATTATATCGTGAATATTTATCAGCTTCATGCATCCGAATAAATATTTTTGTTTTGTTCATATTATATAAAAAAGTTTCTAAAATAACAAGAGAAATATGTTAAAGTACTTATATACACCAAATCTATTTGATATCATTTTAATTAATTCTATTTAGTATTTTTACTTTGTCTAAATTAAAGATCACGAAGTACTGATATAAAATTTTATTTTATAAATATTCTTAAAATAACATGACTCAAGGAGTCAAATATAAAAAAAAGCATAAATAAATGAAAAGAAAATTATGTTAATAGAGATAACTTTTATATGTTCTTTAATTATTTAAAGGGTCAAATCATTTTAAGATCTACTGTATAAGAAAGTATAAGAAAATAAACAAGTCAGGCAAATCAGGTACATGAAATCCTTCAAAAAAAATGTATGTTTAATACAATGATAATTGACTTTAATGATATTGTTAATATTACGTACGATTAAAACTCATAATTTCAAAGCTTTATAAGGAATCCGAAAGTCGAAAGATACATTTTTTTTTTAAAAAAAAAATAATTTTTGCCAAAATGCCAAAATTGATTCTCACCTTTCCCAAAAAAGAAAGTTAGTTTAGCAATAAATCACATGATAATCTAACAGTATAAATAAGCGAATCATTCATGTTTCTCTCACGATTTGATTTCTTTGTAAATAACGATAAACTCAATCGATGTAATAATGGTTAAAATAATTTCGTAATATTAAGTTTATACATTTTATCTTTTTTCTTATACCCTAACTTTCTTTTTTTTTTTTCTCTGAATTTTGAATTAATTCATTATTTAATTTAAATAAATTACTCCCATAAAGAAATTTTTGTTTAATAGCGATGGTCCTTTTATAGATCGACTATATCCGAAGTAATATCATATTTAATATAATCATCATTATCATCAGTAAATAATCATTTATCGAAGATAAATGTAATCTTAGTAAGATGTGTTTGCGATTATTGAATAAATTAATGGATTCGAAGAAGAAAATTTGTTAAGAACATTACATTGAATACTAGTACCATATTGTATAATAATTATAATGATAACGATTATTATAGAAATTATATATTGAAAATAATCCTTTAACAACAGAGTTTATTTAAGAAATCTCAAAGAAGTCATTCATACCACTACAATCATATTTAATTTATGTAAGTAAAAAAAAAACCATTGGAAAGTGTGGAAGTGTGGAAGTGTCGTAAAGGATCAGCAACTAATTCTTGATTTTATGTAGTTCACGTGATTCATATATTAAATTGTCGCGCATCCAAATTATACTATGGCAGAAAGTGAGTGAGATCAATTCAATATATGTATATATATATATTAAAAAAGAAAAAATTTTTTTTTTTGATCGATCAAGATTTAAATAGATAATTAACCATTGGATTGGATTTAGCGTTAAAATATGAGAAAATTTTTTTTTTTTTTTTCGGTTTTAATCTCTTCGAAATCTCTTTTCATTAGTTATACAACTCCAACGAAAGAATCAAAGAATGAACTAACAAGTAATAGTAATAATAAAAGTACTATAATAGATAATAGGTTTTTATGTAGACATTAATGATTTAGATAAAGCGAATTCAACTCGTAGAATGGGATCCGTCCAAAATCGCGAAATCCAGAATCCCGACACCACATAATCCCGATCTACAAAATCGCGAAACTACAAAATCCCGACTTGGACAAAATATCGACTAGTTCAAAATCCCGAAATATAAAATCTTGACGGTTCAAAATCTTGACAGATTAGATACTATTAATAATTTGTTTCAATCTGTCTTTTGCAAAATAATTTAATAGAATATTTAGAATATTTATATTATTTATATATATTATTGAGTAAAAATTATTTGGAAATCTTTTATTCTTTAGACATTAAAATAAGTAAATTGCGCAAAATATTGTATATCATTTATTTTATTTATTAATTGTTGTAATTTATAAAAGAACTAGATAAAAGAACTAGATTTTTGTAAATTTACTTATAATGTAAGACTTATAATGTAAGATTATGGGCAATGACACGAAGATACTCCATCACTGAACGGTTTTCTTTATAACTGATGATCGTCATGATTCTTTTTTCTCTGTCAATTAAAATAAATATTTATAATTACGCATAAATCAAATTTGTCAAATAATAATATGCAACGCGCAATTTGTTAATCAGAATGATTACATAACCATAAAAAAATTTTCATATGAATTTTCAATATGCTATGTTACTAAGCAAGCTAGAACAGAACATGGAATATTAACTAATTTGTATGTACATTAAATGATTTACACAATATACTTTAAATAATCAATTATGCAATTTTATTGATTTATTTGTTCTTTAACTATAATAGTAAATATATGTTTGTACAATTGTAACAATTCTATTAATTACAATCTATAAAATTTTTATTGTATTAGACGATTTTGTATTTCGGGATTTTGAACTAGTCGATATTTTGTCCTAGTCGGGATTTTGTAGTTTCGCGATTTTGTAGATCGGGATTATGTTGTATCGGTCTTTTGTTTGTCGGTCTTTTGACCCATAACCCGTAGAATACACTGTCTCCACTTTAAGACGTTCT